GTCTCTCTCTCTCTCTCTCTCTCTCTCTCTCTATCGCTCTCTCGCTCGCTCTCTCTCTCTCTCTCTCTCTCTCTCTCTCTCTCTCTCTCTCTCTCTCTCTCTCTCTCTCTCTCTCTCTCTCTCTCTCTCTCTCTCTCTCTCTCTCTCTCTCTCTCTCTCTCTCTCTCTCTCTCTCTCTCTCTCTCTCTCTCTCTCTCTCTCTCTCTCTCTCTCTCTCTCTCTCTCTCTCTCTCTCTCTCTCTCTCTCTCTCTCTCTCGCTCTCTCTCTCTCTCTATATCTCTCTCTCTGTCTCGCTCTCTCTCTCTCTCTCTCTCTCTATATCTCTCTCTGTCTCTCGTGCTCTCTCTCTCTCTCTCTCTCTCGCTCTCTCTGTCTCTTGCTCTCTCTCTCTCTCTTGCTCTCTCTCTCTCTCTCTCTGTCTCTCGCTCTCTCTCTCTCGCTCTCTCTCTCTCTCTCTCTCTCTCTCTCTCGCTCTCTCGCTCTCTCTCTCTCTCTCTCTCTTGCTCTCTCTCTCGCTCTCTCTCTCTCTCTCTCTCTCTATATCTCTCTCTCTCTCTCTCTCTCCCTGTCTCTCGCGCTCTCTCTCTCTCTCTCTCTCTCTCTCTCTCTATCGCTCTCTCGCTTGCTCTCTCTCTCTCTCTCTCTCTCTCGCTCTCTCGCTCTCTCTCTCTCTCTCTCTCTTGCTCTCTCTCTCGCTCTCTCTCTCTCTCTCTCTCTCTATATCTCTCTCTCTCTCTCTCTCTCCCTGTCTCTCGCGCTCTCTCTCTCTCTCTCTCTCTCTCTCTCTCTCTCTCTCTCGATCAGGTGGGACGAGTGTGTCCAGTGCGCTAGAGTGCCCTCGTGAGGAGACTCGCTCCATTGTCTCTTTGGACACCTCTCAGATGGTGAGCATTTACATGAATATACATGCAGGTGTGACATACTGACACTCATTCAGCGCCTGTATTTTGCGTGTGTGTGTATATTTATGGTGCATATATTAAATGTCCGCACATACAGAGCTTTCTGTGTACCTGGCTGTACTTCTCTCCCCTTTTTACCCCTCTCCTGCGCTTTCTCTCTCGTGTTCTCATATTTCATCTGCTGCTCTGACCTTGGCTGGCCTGTTTTAGGGGTCATGGGGTCACGCACATGAAAGGCAGCGTGTCATAAGCGCGGTTGTTTTATGAGCGCAGTGGCGTGATTGATAGCTGGGGGGCGGAGCCACCTGTGGAGACGGGGCTGTTTCCTGAAGTGCATTTAACCCCTGTGGAAACCAGGGGACAAAACCCGGCTGATAGTCTGAATGCCTGAAACATTCACCAGCTAAAGCCCGGGCCGCTGGGAAGGCGTGATTATATGTGTGTTTCTATTGTTAAATTGAGAAAATGTGCTGATTTTACTCGTCGGCACAAGAGCAAAAGTCACGGTTATTACAGATAGTCACACTACATCAGACAAGACTAAAAGCAGTGGTTCGTGTCGCTGTGGTTTCTGGTTTACACACACACACAGTGACCTCTCTCTGTCCTGACTCGCTAAGCTGAGATATGTGGGCTGAGTTTAGCGGCAGTGAATCAGTTTGACATGTGGTTTGAGGGAGACCTGCGAACACACTACTGCACTTTAATCAAAACCTCTCTCCCTCTCTCATTCTAGTCTATTCCAATCATTACAGTCAGCCTTTTAGACCTACATGCTGTGTTTTTATATGCATTTAAAATCTATTCTCTACAGTATTGTTGTGTGTCTATTGCATTGTATAGCCCACATTTTGGCCACATGCACATACAGTTTTTTTGTCCTTAATGTTTTGTTCTGTCTTTGTTAGAAAATAACAACAATTAAAAAAAAATAGTTTGACCTCTATGGATAATTCACCCAAATATAAAAATTCAGTATTTGTGTTTTTGACCACATGCACACTGTTTTTTTTTTTTTGGTCCTGTATTGTTCTCTATGCTAGAGATTTGCATACTTTAAAATCAACTAGTCTCTGGGTTCCCTGAATGACTGCTGTTGTCGAATAGTCATCTTTATTGTGAGGTTGATTTAGATTTAGAGTTGATGTTTAATCAGATTTACTACTTAGGGGATTTTCACATGCAATATTCTCATGATGAAACATAATGCAGGACGCGATTCTAAAAGTGTATTCTTTTTGACTCTTCACGTGTTTTTGATTTCGGACTTGCATTTGTTTTAAAATGCAACACTCATGTCATGAATTGATATTGAATTAATTGTAATTTCAATCAACAAAAACATACAATACTATTCAAAAGTTCAAAAGTCAGTAAGATGTGAAAGAAATTAATATTTTATTTAGCAACGATGCATTAAATTGATCAATAGTGGCAGTTAAGACATGTTGCAAAAGATTTCTATGCTGTTCTAAGGTTTTCAGCATTGATAATAATCAGAAATGTTTCTTGAGCAGCAAATAAGCATATCAGAATGATTTCTGAAGGACCGTGTGTCACTGAAGACTGGAGTAATGATGCTGAAAATTCAGCTTTGATCACAGGAATATATTACATTTTAAAATATATTACAATAGAAAATTATATTACAAATTTCACTGCATTCAGCAAGCTCAACCATTCAATCCTGGTACCCAAAATGAATAAACAAATATTTTTAAATGATTAAATTAATATTAAATTTACAACCCTGTTGACAATTCAGGCAAATTGTATTTTTGACTATTTCATTTGGATGTTTATTTAATTTTCAATCAAAATTGAAACTATTTAGAAACATTTTGGCAACAGGGTTGCAAAAACTGCAGACATTAAAAAAAAAAAATAAATAATTAAACGTGTAATAGGAATAACTCAGCCTTTCCTGTATGACTTACTTTCTTCTGTTGAACAAAAAATAAGATATTTTGAGTGAAAGTCAATGGTAAACGAACTTTCTTTAAAATATCTTATTTGAACTTTAATTAATGGGTGTACTGTCTCATTCAAAGTTCCATGCTCTGTTATGTATTTTATTACTCCCCTATTCATGGTAAATGCTTTCATCTTAAGTTATAAAGGTTCAAATGAGAGGAGCCCCTGTGTGACCTGTTATGTTCAGCTGTTTGTTCCTGTTGTGTAGAATCGAATATTGTGGATCGATGAGAAGAATCTAACAGCTCATGTGGAGGCTGGAATCATCGGACAGGATCTGGAGAGACAGGTCAGTGATCCACGATAACATTTAATTTCAGAGTAAAGAGCTTCCTGCAGCTTCCTTTGTATTCGGGTTTAATTTATATATAGTGTGTGTGTGTGTTTGTATGTGTGTGCCAGCATTCATGTTAATGCTGAAGGGTAAAAACAGGCCGTTTGGTTGTGCTTGTGCCAAACTAAACACACACACACACACACACACAGAGCAGATGGTCCCATCAAACTAATGTTGAAAATGGCACTTTTGCCGCTGGTCTGTTGTGGTATTTTGATTGTGTGTGTGTGAGGTGCATTGCAATCAGCCCATCACAGTGTGGGTGTGTGTTGGAGGAATGCAGGACAGATGGTGAGACATTAAAGTGTGTTTGTATTTCTTTGGGGTTTGCTTAATAAAATCACCTGGAGCGTGTGTTTTATCTGAGACTGATCAATAAGACCATCAGCTCCCTCGCAGGTATACGGCTGTCATGCTCACACACTCCATATTGTGAGTCTGACTGCAGGAAACAGGTCTGAAACGCTCCATAAGGCTTCAATACCACTGTGTTTATCCAGAAACACATTTCCTGTGAGGCTGGTGTTTTATTGACAGTCGTGTGATTAGAATTTTTTATTATAAAACAGATATCATCCAGTTCCTGGATGCTGATTGGTCAATACAGTGATCCAGCTGTGCTAAAATACGTGATATTGTAAGAAATATTGTTCAACATCTGTTGACCAGCTGCTGTGTATACTGTATCCAGGGGTGTTTTTATATATATATATATATATATATTGTTGCTCAAAGCAAGATTCAGATTTAATATACGGTTAAATCCACCAAATTTGTTTTGTGCTTCGTAAAGATTGTGACAAAACAGCCAAACCGTTTTTGCAAGCATTAGACCATTTTTTGGGGTCCGAAGAATTTGTACCACCACCGCGTTTACAGATATCACATACACTACCATTCAAAAGTTCTGGAATAGTATGTTTTTGAAAGAAGTGTTCAAAATACAGTAAAAACAGTAATATTGTGAAAGTTTAAATGGCTTTACTGTCACGTTTGACCAATTGAATGTGTCCTTGTTAAATAAAAGTATTAATTTCTTTCCATTAAAAAAATGACTGACTCCAAACATTTGAACAATAGTGTATATATGCATATATAAACATATCATTGCACAGCACCAACTATTAAAAGGGTTGTTCACCCAAAAAATTCTGTCTTCATTTATCCTCAAGTTGTTCCAAAACTGTATGTGTGTATATATATATTTGTTGTTATAGTTTGAAGAATGTTGGTAACCAAACAGTTGCTGAAGCCATTGACTTCCATAGTATTTTTGTTTTACTATGGAAGTCAATGGCTACGGTCAACTTTTTTGGGTGAACTATCCCTTAAACCTTTTTTTTTTTTATGTCAGAGACTGTATTATTTACTAAAAAAGGGACTTACTTAAAAGGGTGCTTACTTAAAAAAAAAAAAAAAAAAGAAAAAAAAAATATTTGAATAAAAAGTAATTATGTATCGCTTGTTTTATACTTTTCTGCTGAGGATGTTTTGTGTTCTTTATGTGATTATAGTTGAATGAGCGTGGTTACTGTACGGGCCACGAGCCGGACTCCATGGAGTTCAGTTCTCTGGGCGGCTGGGTGGCCACACGGGCATCAGGCATGAAGAAAAACATCTACGGCAACATTGAGGAGCTGGTATGTCTCCCTATTTCTCAGCACACACAAACATACACCGGTCTGGGACAGAGGTCACATTCACGCTCATACCCTTCCAATGTTTTAGTGAGAGATGTGTTGTCGTAGGTCATTCATGGTACCTGTGATCTCATGTGTTCCCAGGTGGTGCATATAAAGATGGTGACCCCTAGAGGAGTGATTGAGAAGAGCTGTCTGGGGCCCCGCATGTCCACCGGCCCCGACATACATCACTTCATACTGGGCTCAGAGGGTACGGACTCATGATGTTTTGTGTGAGGAATGTATCTGAAAGGATCCGTTACTCAGTGGATCTCCAGAAACATGTCACTTCAAAATTAAACGAAAGAAAAACTTTGAAAGAAAATGAGGCCTATGCTGATGAGAAAATGTAAGTCTTGTGCACTGGTCACATATCCTAGTGTTCACCTAAAAAGCGAAGGATACTTTAGGCCTAAGTGTCTCAGTGGATATCTAGAGAATAATACTCAGTCTGTACTAGTATCTGTTCCTAGAGTGGATCCTCTTCTCATTGTGCACACTGAAGTTAGTTTGACATTGGTTGGGTCACTGATAGTGATAAGCATAATAAGGGTGTTTATATAATTGCGAGAGTTCATAAAAACAGTTCTCTTAGAGAGATTTGTAAAGCAAACTTTTTGTTTTTCTTTATCTAAGGTCATGTTGCCCTGATTGGGCTTCTCTTGCAGAGCTGCAGTCATATCAGCATGAAGTCTTATCCATTCTGCAGTTTTTTCAAAGCAATAACCACACTCTTAGAGAGGAAGAGAGACCAACATGTGAAGTGACCAAGCACAGTTTTTTTTCTTTTTTCGTAAGTTAAAGATAGATCCATTTAAAACAGATTATACGATGCAAAATTAAACAAACTGATCAATTCTAGTAGTTTACCTGCTATTAAAAGGACTAGTTCACCCAAATATTTATAAAAAAATATTTTTATTTTTTTATTTTTTTGAAAATGTACTCACCCTTGGGCCATCCAAGATATAGATGGGTTTGCTTCTTCATCAGAACAGATTTGTATTAATGTAGCATTGCATCACTTGCTCACCAGTGGATCCTCTGCAGTGAATGGGTGCCGTCAGAATGAGAGTCCAAACAGCTGATAAAAGCATCACAGTAACGCACAAGTAATCCACACCACTCCAGTCCATCAGTTAATGTCTGGTGAAGAGAAAAGTTGTGTGTTTGTAAGAAACAAATCCATCTTTAATGTGTTTTAACTTTAAACAGCCAGAATACGAGTCCATAATCCATAATAACGCTTTCTCCAGTGAAAAAGTCTGTCTCCTGTTGTCGTCTCACACATCAAAATCCACCAACATATTTGTTTAGAGCTGTTTTGGAAACGGTGCTCGATTTCTCTCCTGATTCAGATGAGACAACTGTTTTCACTGCAGAAAACAATATTATGGATAGAGGATTTGTAGTTTAGCCAGAAGCTACTGTTTAAAAACGTCTTGATGGATTTGTTTCTTACAAACACACAGCTTTTCTCTTCACCAGACATTAACTGATGGACTGGAGTGGTGTGGATTACTTGTAGCGTTACTGTGATGTTTTTATCAGCTGTTTGGACTCTCATTCTGACGGCACCCATTCACTGCTATATTTCAAGCAAACTCATCTGCATCTTGGATGGCCTGAGGGTGAGTACATTTTCAACAAATGTACGTTTTTGGGTGAACTATTGCTTTAAGTGCCTAAAATCTTGAGTTCTTCCTCCCAGAAGTCATGTAGCAGTCATGCCATCTGACTGAAACTTGTGATTTTCAAAAGTGCTTTTCAGTTTTGTGTGCAGTGGGATGGTAAGAGAAGAGAATCTGAAATGGAGACTATGTTTGTCCTTTCCTGTGAACCAGTAGGGGGCAGTGAAACACGTTCAGCTAGACGAGAACTATGTGCTTGATATCTTACATGTGTCATGATGCTGTTTAAAAGTATCACCCTTATCCAAAGAAAAGGATACTGTTATCAATCTGTCTCTCTGAAAAGTCATTAAGCCGTTCACGAAGTGATGAAAATGAGTCATAATCGTTGTGTTTGGTAAAATGGTCCGTGAAGCTTTTTATGGCTCATATAAATTCTTTGTGGGATGATGAATATTTCCCAGGATTAATCTGCATTAATTAAACATTCATGATTCCATTAGGAAGGGCATCTGCTTCTTTAATGGTTTTGTAATGTCAGGGGCATTTAGACTTAAGAAGCGCCCATTTCACCTTTCTCCCTCTGACACGCTACAGTTCAGATGACGGGGTTGTTGTTGTTGTTTTTTCGGGGATCAGGAGATCTGTAGATGTAAGGATTCTTATCTCAGAGGTGTGTGTGTCTGTGTGTTTGATGATAAACTATGTTATTGGCATGTTTAAAGAAATATTCAGGGTTAAATGCTACCTAAGTGATGTCTATTATTGCTGTTAAATTACAGTAAAAAAACTGCCACCTGTGCCAGAAATTCGTCTTAAAAATTACCGTGACAATGTTTGAGATATTACGGAATGGCATGTTTACAAATTGTGACTGTATTTTTTAAGTGATATAACGTTAATATAAGTTACTACCAAAATCTATTTTGTAAAATAGAAAGCCACATGATGAATTAGAGTTCATCGTAAGTTGGCTGTCCATAAAACATTTCCACTCCTGAGTCCTATTAAATAGAAAATGAACATGGTCAAACACACATAGACAAAACACCAACACACAATAACGCAACAAATAGTCACTAAATAGCATAAAATGTAACACAAAACACCCTAATGTAAATTATTAATTATAAAAATAAGAAGAAACTAATTAAATAAAATATAATCATATGTGCTGTGTCATGCAGGAACTTTTGTGAATATCTCTTTGCTGTTTTTCACCATAAATTATATGGTAATTCATAGTTTTTACTTCCAAAAACTATAAGTTTGACAGTATTTTATAGGAAAATTACATGTAATGTGATGTTAAACCATTTACTTTTACTGTTTACACCCTAAAGTGTATGTTAATAAAAAAATTTTTTTCCAAAAACATAATTTTGACAGTATTTTACAATATAATTACATATAAAGTGATGTTCAAACATTTAGTTTCTCATCATAAATTATACAATAATTCAGTTTTCCCTTCCAAAAACTATAATTTGATAGTATTTTACTGTAAAACTACATATAATATGGTTAACCATTTACTTTTACTGTTTTCCATCATTAATTATACTTTAATTCATAATTCTATTTCCAAAAACCATACATTTGCCAGTGTTTTAAAGTAAAATTCTATATAATGTAATGTTAAACCATTTACACATTTTCACCATATAGTTTATGGTAAGGTAACTTAGTTTAAGGTGGGGTAAGCGATTTCTGGTAGCCAGTGTTGACATTTGAAATCGCCAAAACAAACACGCCCCTACCCCAAAAGGGTCTCACCCCTATTTTGATAGCTCCCCTTCACACATACGTACGCAACCCAGGCAACAATTAGTTCTGTGAAACAAAGCAAAACCAATGTTACACCGTGTCTACACCGGACGCGAGTGGCGCGCACGACAAAATATTATAGAACTCATTATAATCAGTGATGCTGTCTACAC